CGGATGCGCGAGGAAGGGCCTTCTGGCCGTTCCTGGGCTCGTGTTGCGGATATTGTTTCACTAGAAATACTCATATATATATATAATATAATATATATATATATATATATCTCTATATATATATAGAGAGAGAAAGAGAGAGAGACAGACAGAGAGAGAGATGCTTTAGGGCTTCGGATTTCGGCTTACCCCCATTGTGAGAGCTTAATCAAGTTCGTGTAATTTCCTTCACCCCTGTTATGGCAACCGGATTCATTCACTGAAACTCCTTATAACCAGGCCCCAGGATCTTGTCGGCGCCGGCCGCGAGCAAATACCGCGCCACCTCGACGTGGCCCTGGATCGCAGCTAGCCCAAGCTCTTCCTCCGCCTTATGAAGCAGGACATGCCAGCTTGAACTTGCCTTCAACACCCACAAACCCTTGACCCTTAACCCTGAACCCCTGAACCGCGAAAGCCTATCCCAAAGGCTCCATGTGCCTGTTCCGTATATACACCTAGACCTCAACAGGGCTTCTTTCTAGGAAGGCCTAAGTATCTACTACGTAGGTACATGGAGCCTTTGTGTACCGTAAACAAACCCTAACCCCAAACATGGAGCCTTTGTGTATCATAAACAAACCCTAACCCTAAACCCCAAATCCCCGAAACCCTATCGCAAACCGAGGCTGGCGTCTTTCCAGCCCTCGGACTCAGAGACGGTCAAAAGAACCAGTTGAACGTCCATGGGTACATCCTCAGGTCTTTTCACAGGTTGGGGTTTTGACGGCTGGGGCGCTTGGGGTTCAGAGCTTTAGGGTTTTAGAGTTTGGAGTTTGACAGGGTTTAGGGCTTCAAGGTTTCGAGAGCTTTGGATGTCAGGCTTTCGGGCTTTACGGCAGCGACTTGTAAGCGCTTTCAGCTACAAAACCCGGTATATTGGGCTGTGTTGATCAAAAAGCGAGCGGGTGGGGAATGTCCCACCACATAGTAGTATATATGGTATAAAGGACCGGCAAGGCATAACCATGCATGGCATCTAAAGCTCTGTTCCCCTGATTCTTAAAACACATGTTCATTACCTACCGTGGTGTCTACAGTCTATAAAACAAGCCATGCTTACTTCTCTCTATTTGTTGGAGCCCTAGATATAAGCTACCACGAAAACAGAAAGTCAACAGTGGACTTGCCTCTTCTCGTAGCTTACATTCTTACATGTTCAAACACAGGAAACAACGAAGTCTCCTCGGTAGGGTAACTTAGGAAAGCAAGCTAAATAAAAGCCAAGAATCGAACTTGAAAGCATCATCCAAGCAGAGACCATGGTGTAGAATCTGTTGAATGCAGAGCGGGAAACCATGAAGCGTTCGCAGATGCTGCTTCAAGGATCCAACATCACTTAGCTCCTCTGTTCATGCTCGTTTAGGTTTAGGGATGCAAGAAAGGTAACGCATATCTATGCTATGGTTGGCCTTCTACTTCCGCTGAGAAACAAAAACAGCACTAGGTCTCCTCTGGTGCCATGGTAACCAGCTCCTGACCGGAAGCAGCCCACCAAACGCGCAACATGGCAAGAACGGCCCAGAGAGCTCTGCATCTTGCCTACCCAGACTTACATTATAGTATCATATATAGCAAAAAAATGTAGAGTGTAGAACCTTGTAGAATCTTATAGTACCTTATGCTGAGTCAGGACCCTTACTGTGCTTCTTTGGAATTGGAACCGATTCGACAGTGCTTGGTGCTTGCATCAACACCTTTCAACCGACAATCCCTCAGGCCGACTCAGAAAAAGCTGTGTTCTTCAGCTTGATTGATGGCTCCTGGCCCCAAGACCAAAGAATGAAATCCGTTGAATCTATTTCGAGCCACCGGCTGCAAGCCAGACCACCGAGAAAGAAAAAGTCAGGTGAATTAACCATGCGCAAGGTTGAAACGTCCAAGGAGGCAAGTGCGACACTGAGATGCTCGTAACTATCTAAGCTCTTAAATCCTTGATTGGTGCTCGCCGAATTCCACATTCTGCTAGCACGCGCAGTCATCCAGTGCCGGTCTGCTTCTATGCCTACCCATCGAAGAAAACGGCGATGGCGACGACACAGTGAAGACCACGATGCTGGCAATGAGTTCTTTCTTCATCACGTCTGTGGGTATGGGTTTAGCATCTTCTTGTTCCTGTGTCGAAAATCTTACGTCCTGCGGCCGTGTTATTATACATACTGTATGTAGCAAGTGTACATCATGTGTATATATATATATATATATACATATATATATACATATACATACATGTTCGGCTTCGCGACGGCCTTGCCTCAGCCAGGACAACAAAGCAGGCCACGAGCACCACATGCCCGGGCCCTCGGGTAGCAATCGCAACACAAACGGATTTAGGGCTTAAGGTTGAGGGTTTAGGGATTACAGCTTTGAGTTTGGGCTTAAGGTTGAGGATATAAGTTGGGTTTTGGGGCTTAGGCTAAGTTTTAGGCTTTGGGGTTTAGGATGGCTTGTGGTTTTGTTGGCTTAAGGTTTGGGATCTAGCCTCGATCGCCGCAACTTGCTGGGACAGCCTACTCAACAGTTCCATGTCCACTTGAGGCCGCTGCTGATGCCGATCATGGCCACGTCGGCACTGTAGCTAGCTAGCCAGGCTCAGCCTTCTTGGGTACCACCGTATCACGGAAGAATAGAAGGTTGCTGCATCCGGGTTGATGTCATCGGTCATGCTGCCAAAAATGCAGGCGACTTCTATGCCCTCCGGGTTGAAGATTTACGGAGCAACCAACAAAACCTGCTTATCATCAAACGACAAATTCGAGTTGAGCCAATCTGTCTGATTCTGGCTGGCTTGAGCTTCTGATGATTCAAAACCCAAGCCGGGGGGTAGTGAAGAAGGCTTTGGACACTCACACACTTCTGCGCTTCCGTGAGTCTGACAACCATGCTCGAAGGCATCTACCCAAGACCCTGCTGCAGTACTTTTGTTTGTGAATGTCATGAGGGCTATGCACCGGCTGCAGCCAAACAGGACAGGAGCACAGCTTGCAAGTGCAAGGATCAGAGTGCCAGCTTCCCAGTCCCAGCGACATTGCAACGCATGACACCAAGGAGGTTCGATAGAAGCAAAGTAGCTCTATACCCCCCCCGCATCCTTACAGTCTCACCTCAATGCCTCGCGCGTCGGACGAAAGGACAAGGCCACTTCAACCGGAGATCTGCCTAGCCTGGCAAAGCCGCGAAAACACCGTTTGCTTCCTTCTTACATCAACTCTCATGGTGCTGCATTTTGCGTTGAGGAATCATCGCATGCATGCGAAGCAATATGAAAATCAGGACATAGGATGCCTGTAGGGCTTGGGGCTTCGTGTTTAGGGTCTCTGTGATCAGCTCGCACTTACGAACAGCTCTCGAATCCACACGCACACACAAACCAAACCCTATGAAACGGTCGAACCTACTAAACATCCACACCTCTTCCAAGCCCCCCTACGAAGCCAACCCGGAACTCGTATACAGGATACCATGAGCTCCAAACTCTGGTCTTGGCCCGGCCTTGAACCACCCAAGCCTCAAAACCCCGAACCCCTGAACCCTTTAAACCCTTGGCTGACTTCTGAACCCCTCCTAAAAGTTAAACTTTTAACCTCCTTATTATGGTTCATATAGAAACCCCAAAAGTTAAAGTCCTAAGAGGCCACCAGAAGAACGCCAAGAACCTTAGTCCCCTCTGACCCCGAGCCCTGCAATCTTGCGCTCTCGCTTCTGAGCTGTGCGTCTGCCCCGACGTCCGGCCAGGGGGGCGAGGCCTCCGCCAGTCTTTCTTCAAGGGAAGGGGCGAGGATTTGGAGTTTAGGTTTCTACACCTAGGTATTCATGTGTAGGGGCATTTCATGGTTCTATGTGTATGGAGCATATAGGCCCTTAGTAGTCGCAGAGTTGCAGGAGCTGGGTCTAAGGCATCTGGGAGTATAAAGTCTACATCGGGCGTATAGTAAAGGTGCGAAGGTCCAAGCTGGCGGTTGAGGGCTTAGTTTGAGCTTTCGGATTTGCTTGGAGGCCATGTAAGCCTTAACTCCAAAGAGCTACGAGCTCTCCCCTATAGACCCGAAAACCTATAAAGATTATGAAACCCTATAACCCTATGAGCCCAAAAACAAAGCCCTGAACCCTGAGGAGGTGCGGTCATTCAGGGATGCAAAGGCCTCTGTGGGTTGTCGGCCGCTCCGCTCCGTGGCCGTCGCACTGTGGACCTCGCATCAATGGGCAGCCCTTGAAGAATTATACCTATAGTCTCCATTGTAGTTCCTTTTTGGGGCTACCTTAAAGGATCCTCAATATATAATTGGTTAAAAACAAAAAAAGGAACTACAATGGAGACTATAGGTAGGCTTCAGGGTTCATGAAAACCCCGGACTTCCTGATCTCCAAGCAGAAGCTGGCTCGAAAGCAGCGGCTACCTAGAGGCTCCAAAGTAGTTCCTTTTGGGGGTTCATATATAGAATCCTATAAGGTATTCCCCAAAAGGAACTACTATGGAGCCTATGGGTATAGGAGTGGGAGCAATGCTGTGAGATCTTGTTCGCGGCGACAGGCGGTGCTTCATGCAGGAGTCAGCGCTGTACAAGTGCAGCAACCATTCAAACGATGCGGTCGCTTGATTAAAGAGCACGTGCATGGCCATATAGCCTTCCAGAGTGGAATTCCTCTCGGCCACGCTGATTCTGTCCCTGAAACTACTTAAAGAATCTTTAAAGCTGAAGCCAAAATTCAAAATCGCGAGCACTCTGGCGCAAGCTAGGCTGTTGAAACCGTTCACTGTTGACATCACTTCGTCAAACCAGTCCCTTTGCGTGTGTGTGTGTGTGAGAGAGAGAGAGAGAAATTTTACAAACCTGCAAAGCCTTGCCACCACGCCGACGGCCCGCCAAAACGTGCAGTGCATCTGACAATGATTCGACAAGCGTTTCCTCGTCGATGCTGCTTCAAAGCAAATGATTAAATCAAGTCGTGCAATCTTCGGCTCACCACGGCCCGAAGTTTTGTACCCGGGGCTTGGTGGCCTTCGTGGAGCTCTGCTTGGCCTGCTGACCCTTGGTCTTCAGGGCAGACTGAGCGGCAGCCAGTCGGGCAACTGGCACGCGAAAAGGTGAGCAGCTCACGTAATCCAGGCCGATGCGCTCGCAGACCTCGATGGAGGCAGGGTCGCTGCCGTGCTCACCGCAAATGCCCATCTTCATGTGGGGCCGGGTGCTGCGACCGCGCTCCACTGCCATGGTGATCAGCTCGCCGACGCCGTCGGGATCAAGGGACACGAAGGGATCCGTCTCCACGATTCCTTTGGCCTTGTACTCAGGCAGGAAGGATCCAGCATCATCACGGCTCAAGCCGTAGGTGGTCTGCGTGAGGTCGTTGGTGCCAAAGCTGAAGAACTCCGCCATTTCTGCCAACTTTCCAGCTTGCAAAGCTGCGCGAGGAAGCTCAATCATGGTGCCCACCTTGTAGCTGAAGGTGATTCCCTGCTCTTTCTTCACTGCATCTGCAGTCTTCTCAATGACTCCCTTCAGCAGCTTCAGCTCTTCGGTGGTTGCCACAAGTGGCACCATGACCTCTGCCACTGGCAGCTTCTTGGAGCTTCGGCCGACCTCGGCTGCAGCTTCGAAGATGGCTCGCGCCTGCATCTCGCAGATCTCCGGATAGGTGATGGCCAGTCGGCAGCCACGATGGCCCAGCATGGGATTGGCCTCCTGCAGCTCTGCAGCACGCCTGCGCACCCGCTCCAGGGGAACGCCTGCAGCTTTCGCCACCAGTGCCATCTCGGCTTCCGTGTGCCTTGGAAAGACTAAGACTAAGACGAAACAGAAGCTCCTGATCATCTAATGCACTACAATTGAAAATCCATGATTCTCAGGATGATCCTCTTCCAGGGCCGAGAAGCGGGATGAACTCGTGCAGTGGAGGATCCAGCAAGCGCACCGTCACGGGCATTCCGTCCATAATCTTGAACAATTCGGTGATGTCATCACGCTGCATGACCAAGAGCTTCTCCAACGCCTGTCGCCGATCGCTCTCATCCGTGGCCAAGATCATCTGCCTCATGGCCACGATGCGCTGACCTTCGAAGAACATGTGCTCGGTCCTCACGAGACCGATGCCCTCTGCGCCGAACTCCTTGGCCTGTCGAGCATCGGCTGGAGTCTCTGCGTTGGCGCGGACCTCACGCATAAACACACACACACACACACAAGCAGGTCTCTCAGAGGCTGTACGACTGACGCCATGACTGTATGCTCCCTTTTAGCTTAGCCCAGTGCTTTCATGTCCCGGAACTCATCCGCCCACTCCATGATCGTCCCGAAGGATCCGGACAGCTGTGGAGGCACCGTGGGAACTTCGCCAACAATGACCTCTCCGGTGCTTCCATCGATGGTGAGGATCTGGCCCTCTGCAACCGTCACCGCACCCACGGTGAGCTTCGCTGCAGCGTAGTCCACGGTGATGGCGCCCGCACCCGCCACGCAAGGCCGGCCCATCCCGCGGGCGACGACCGCAGCATGGCTTGTCATACCACTTGCAAGGATACGCACTCTTACAGTAATCAGGGGTTCTTGATTTTGCTTAATTATTCTTGCGGAACCATTTCGTCGGGTTTAGGGTTTGTAGGGGGTTTGGGCAGCCAGATCGAGTGGCTAAGGACCCGCCTCGGGTGGTCAGGACTCCCTCCGCTGCGTGCAAGCCGTGGATGTCGTCCGGACTGGTCTCGATGCGAACCAGGATGACCTTCTCGCCATCCTTGCACCGTCGCACCGCTTCGTCAGCAGAGAAGACCACCTGAACAGACAGGTCATGGACATCGGAACTCACTGCATCGCCAAAGTTTGAATGATGATTCGTGACATTGATGCTCGTGCTGGCGGAAGTCAAAATGTGAGCATACTCAAGCAAAGCAACCTTGCCGCCAGCAGCACCGGGAGAGGCAGGAAGGCCCTTGGCGACCACATCCTTCTTGGCCTTCGGGTCCAGCGTGGGGTGAAGCAGCTGATCCACCAAGTCAGGCTTCAAGCTCAAGATAGCTTGTGATTTGGAGATCAAGCCCTCCTGGGCCATGTCAACCGCAATCTTCAGCGCAGCTGGAGCCGTGCGCTTTCCGTTGCGCGTCTGCAGCATGTAGAGTTTACCTTGTTGAATCGTGAACTCGATGTCCTGCATGTCCTGCTTCGAACTCAGAGACATGAAGCGACAGAATTGAATGACCTCAATATTTGGATTAAATATTTAGTTTGCAGGGACGTCCTTGTAGTGGGTCTCCAGCTGACTCCGCACCGACAGCAACTCCGTGAAAATCTGCGGCATCACTTCTTCCAAGGAGGGCAAATCGGAACCATGGGACTTGCGGGCTTTGATAGTCAGCTCTTGCGGTGTGCGGATTCCAGCAACCACATCTTCGCCCTGGGCATTGAACTCACCGTAGAACTCGTTGGTTCCCGTGGAGGGGTCGCGAGTGAAGGCCACGCCTGCTGAAGAACTCTGACTGCACGTTATGCCCATCTACTGAAGGTCCCATGCAATGGTACGTGCATCCGGACGTCTCAACTTTCGACCGACAGGCCGGAGCGAGCAGCCAGCACCCTCACCGTATACTAAGACCCCGTGCCTGTAGCGCAGTCCGTCATGTAAGCAAACATCTGAAACACCCCGACACCTCCGAACCATTAAATCCGGCCACACAACAATGATTGAAACAAATCCTGTAGCTACTAGAATCCGTGTTTCAATGAGGTGCCTGTACGTCTTGGCTCGCTGGTTCATCCAGGAGTTGAAGACCTTGCAGGCCCGCATGCTGCGTGGAAGGAACGAGGACACCAGACTTACCCAATGACCCCCAAAGTATGTAGAATAATAGCCTTTTATGGGTACTGGGCCATTATTTTACCTACTTTGGGGGGGTAAGGTATCAAATCCGCTGCTCTACTTTCAAGCCCAGAGGCAGCACCAATTGCACCCCACAGCTGGGCTTTCGGATCTTCGGGGAAGTCCTCGCCCAGCTCCAACTGCACCACAGCTTTGTACCTTGAAGTCTTCTTGGGGCGGACTTAGTGCCTGGCATTGGTGCCGTTTCCTGCTAATGCTCAACTAGGATACCCAGTAACCTAAGAATAAAAAAGGCCTCTCTTTTTGGTATTGGGTACCTTTATAAGGAACCTAGGACTACAAAAAGGGAATAAGGGTACTACTGGGCATCCTAGTCAACCATCTCCGCCGTGAAATGCTCACCCGCGACAACCCCTATCAGAAATCCTCCTCAAATCCCTCCACTGTGCGGTTCAGATGCGATTTGACCAACTTCTCCAAGTCTTCAGCGAGCAGCTCGCAGTCCTCTACGGAAAGCTTGCTTTGATGAGCTGTGGGGGGAATGTTTCAAACCATCCGCGCGGGCGAAGTTATGAACCACCTGCATGTGCTTTCGGATCCATCTAACCCCCCGAAGCACCTTATAGAGACACTTGCACACGCGGCGCCGTCCTGTTTCACACCGCGCTTCTCCTTGGCACGCTCCAAGTGCTTCTCAAAGTGGCTGATCTCGATGCCCAAGACCACATCCGAGTACATCTGCACGAAGCGCCTGTAGCCTCCAAGGTTCTTCAAGAGCAGGGCACTTGCACATGCGCAGCTTACGCAGTTTGGATGAGTTTGATGAGTTCGCTAGCCGCTAGGGAGCGAAAGAGCAAACTCGGCACTGAACAGAAGCTCGGGAGCTGTCGAAGGCGAAGCGCCGGTCACCAGATTTCTTCGCCAGAGCTTCCACGGTCTGATCGTTCAAGCCCAAATTGAGCACGGTATCCATCATTCCTGCCATATGGTCAGAGACGGCAAGGAGGTGCACAGTCAACATCAACACTTCGAAGTGGACACTGTACTGTCATGTAGGTTGTACCATGGATCTTCCGCACATGCTGTCTTGCATGCAGTCGCGACTGACTGAAGATGTCCGGAGACCTGTCCTGGCATGGACGCGCGCGCCCCAGAGCGGACAGAGACCAGAAGTGGGTTGGTGGAGTCGCCAAAGACACGGCCGGTGCGCTTCTGGACCAAAGCCAGTGCCTCCTCGACCTTGCACATGGCTAAGCGCGCGTGGATTCTGCTGAGAGTGTGGGGTAGAGAATGAGAGTAAGGGCGTGGATTCTGCTGAGAGTGTGGGGTAGAGAATGTGAGCGGAACTTGCAGCAGGTGTGTGACTTATAGCCTCCTATTCCAGCGGCGCCTGCTTGTTGAGCTCCTTGGGATAGTTGCAATCGTTCTGATAGAAGTGTGTACAGATCTCCGTCGTGAGTGTGAACCCGGGAGGCACAGGCAGCCCGATGGAAGCCATTTCCTCAAGCGTACGTCGAAGCAAATAATCACACACGACGTGAGAGTCACAGTCACAGCCTTGAATTTAAATGGGACCGCAGAGAATCGGCAAGGTTGGCACCCTTGCCGCCTAGCAAGTTCTTCATCTCGGCTCGGCCGTCGGCCTGCAAAGCATTATGCTCGCTGCGATGTCTCGACATGGACTCATGGGGTGTATTACTGTCGAAGCCGCTATGCCGCTATTAACGCACGAGAGCACTCAAGCGCGCCACGGCTCCTGGCCATCACCGAAGTTGTAAACCCAGGTGGCCATGTGTGCAGGAGATATGCCGGAATCCTGATCGCTCAGATGCTTTGAACCTCAAATGCTGTATGGCATCGCACACGTGGACTGTTGGCATTCTAGCACGGTATACTGGATTCTCAGAAATTTTGTATGTGTTATGTGCGGTTCTGTAACACAAACGCACAGGGGTATTCGGAACCCCGCCGATGCAACCCCCTCCTCTTCTGCCACCCTTTTGAAGTTAAAGGCTCCAAAGCCCACGCCAAGGCCTCCGAGAGATATGAGAGATGCAACCATCGGACGTTCACACCCCGTTACCACCAGCCCCGGACGGCACACCCCGTAGCTCTGCAGAGTCTCTGGGGATCCGACTGACGTCGAAGCAGCAACATCGCTAGGCGCTGCTGTTGCGCCTTGAGGCATGCATCCCAAGGTTCCGCCGGGATGAAACAGTTAGAGGACCCCTTGCCCCTGTTGATTAATAATGCCACCGTCCACCCATGTTGATGATTATTCCTATAATCCCCCCTACACTTCACCGATATATCACTACTACTTCCCCATTAGACGACCATTCCTGTACTTCCCCCTAAACTTCACCGATATATCACTACTACTACTACTACTACTACTACTACTACTACTACTACTACTACTACTACTACTACTACTACTACTACCCCGTTATCAATACAATTCTGGGAATAACCATAGCCCCATCTATATTTTCTAAGGTGGCATTATTACCCAAAAGGGGCGACGGGGTCCTTATAGAATTTGGTTCAGGGTTTAGGGTTAAGGGTTGTAACTCTAATGTAATTACAATATATAGCTGATTATGTATTATAATCACATTATAACTATGCTGGTGAGGTACCTTGAAACTTGAACTATCATCTCATCTAAGAACTCTGTTGTTGCTTGTAAATACTCATAATGTAATTGTTTGTCTCTTGTTTTATCATATTGCAAGTAGTATATTATTGCAATAAAAATATGATATACTCTGTGATAATAATGAAAATAACCACATAAAACACCTTCGAGCAGTCTGCCATACGTCCTCGCAGGATGCTCAATCTTCTTGCAATACTGCAGCAGACCGTTCTACAATGGTGTAGTCACTCACTCCATCGCTGTTCACTCACCAAAGAATCGAACCAAAAAGAGAACCCAATTAAGTTCACGCATTGGGGCTACAACGCCTGTGGAAGTAGCACGAACAAAGAACGAACTGCGCTACAACGCATGTGGAATATTTCATTTTCTCCTGATGCCATTGATAGAAGTCAAATGTATCTAGGTTCTCGTAAATGGCTTTCGTTTCAGTATGTAACTCAAGTGTAGAATCATTCTTTTGAACATCATCTCGCATTATTTCATGAACTTCATCATATTCTGGATATGTGTTTAACTTACTAAAGGGTAATATATAATCATCAAACAAATTTCTTAACTTACAACATTTATCACAACCATAGTAATCTACGATCTGATTTTTAAAGCTATGTAAGACATCGCATTTGCCTAGTAATATTTTCTGTATGTTCTTAACTGAAGTGCACTTATCACATCTATTGAAATACTTAAATTTGTGTATCTGATTATACATGCAAATATGTTTCATCATATTCACTCTCACTTTCATATTCGCTCTCACTCACTACCACGATAATATGTAAGTTGTTATTTCTTTAAATCATATTCCTCAGAAATATTATTTTCTTAAGAATTTCTGCATCGCGGTTTACTTGACAGATTTATCCAAGCATTCAGAACAAGTCGCAATGTATTTAACATAACAATAAGAATGCTTACCAGCACAATAGCAACGCTTAAAACAAACAATGTCTTTGACTTGCTTACAACGGTAGCACTTCCTAGTATTAATATTATTTGTTTCAACATATGGTTCAAAATCAACTAATATCTTATCTACTTTTACTGGCATTATCAGTATTATATATATATATATACTTCTTCATAATGCGATATTATGCAAATTTGCACTGGTTACTGGTTCCTTAAGATTTAACGAAACTAATTACGAATTAATGTCATTACCAAACTCTTATGGCTTGCCTATGAAACTGTAGACTTGCTAGGCACACGGGGGCATTGGCTCACTTCCTTCTTCTGTTTTCATTTGGGGCACTTTTTTATGCCAAGATGGCCTGTCGTAATACACTAGATTTATTTGTTGTAAACTATTTATCAAGTATTTTCTTAATGACTTCGCCCGTGTCAGTCTTCTCTTGTGTTATTGGTTCTCCTTCGGTTTTATTAAAACTGAAGTTTATAAAGTGGCTGTCAATTTCAATATTGATGTCTCCATTATCACGCCTGTCTATATTCATTGTTTTGTTTCCTTTGCTGATCTTAAATTTACAAGGAACACACGCGCATTTAGCCCCCTTCTTATTTATTTCAACTTCATTATGAAACGGTATGATATAATTACAATTTGGACATTTAATTTCTTGGTTGCTACCATCATGAGCCTAAACCCCTTAAGGTCCTAACACCCAAGGCCCCCTGAAACAAGCAGTTGATACCCCAAACTCCTGATCCACTAAAGCCCAAGGAACCCGACTCAAAGAACCAAGGGCGCAGCAAGAAGGGTTAGATAGGTATTCTAGGATCACAAATTAGATGCAACTTTTTTTTTGTTTTGCTCTCTCTCTCTCTTTCTCTCTGTCTGTCTGTCTCTCTCTCTCTCTCTCTATCTACATGTATATATATATATATATATATATAATATCATATACATACATCAAAAAACATCCTTAAAAATCAGGCTGCTTGTATACGAAGTCCCATGACCCTTTGCGTAAACCGGCCGAGATGCCGCAGCGCAGGCCTTCACAGAGGAGTTCAGGGCGGCGGAGTCTTCCTCGAGGAGCCCTGCTTTCTCCAACTCCTCACAGAGCTTCGCGTTCGTCGTGGAGTCTCTCTGAAAAGGGCTCTTGGCTCGGAGGGTTTACCCTAAAGGGCCCTAAAGGCCCAGAGTAGTTCCTTTTTGGGGTTCATATTTAGCATCTTATGAGGTAATACCAAAAAGGAACTACTATTGGGCCTCTGGGTAGGATGATGAGATGGTGTAGGTTTCAAGGTTTAGGGTGCTTCGTTCTTCGAGTTTTGTCTAGGAGTCTGCTCTCCTGTTTCTTAGAGCCAAAGCATGCTACTGCAGACCCTCGGAGGACACGGTGAAGGGCTGAAGAAGTAGGACTGCCGAACTTTCGGCTCCTGAAAGGACGAATGGTTTCGTTCTAAGTGGTACTACACACATTACGCACCTTTGTTGACTCTACTGCTACTTAATTCTGACTGTCGTTGCTATTTTCACCATTTGTATAATTGTCGCTTATAACCATTGTTATTCTTCTGAAAATCTGCATTATTCAGCGATATTCTGTTGTTGCTCTCCTTCTGAAAGTTGATACTAGTTCACTACCATGGGTGTTATTGTTATTTCATGCTCATTCTAAAACTTTCACTACTCTTGTGATGATGATGCTGACTATGGTAGTCAATGAGGGGGATTGTCGGCACTGTTACGCTACCTGAATCCTGGCCCTAAACCAAAAGACTCGCAAAAACACATCCTGAGCCAAAAAGTGGAGGTGGCAATCCGGGCTTGGACACGTGTTTTATGGCTGGGCTCCTAGCAATGGACGCTAGCTGTTATTCTCATACTTTGCAGCAATCCTGAGCTGTAGCTTGTGTCATTGTGTATGGGAACTACTAGGCAATACTGCGTAGCAATTCCTCAGACCCTGCATGACACTCGCCTGCAAGAGCGCCAGGCACTGCTCCCACTGCCCTGCTCGCTCACAGGCCTTGAGAAGAAGAGGCTCTCATCTCAGGGGGTTCGGCTTGAGGTGTTACAGGGTTTGGGGTTTGGATTTCGGGGGGGGTAAACGCGTTTGTGTTGGGGTTTGGGGCTTGGGGTGTTGTTCTGGGGGCGCTTCTTGCCTCAAGACGCGAGGCTTGACATAGCGACCCTGGAAGCACAGCTGTTGGCCTCCCTCCCTCCCTCCCCCTCCCTCCCTCCCTCCCTCCCTCCCTCCCTCTCCCTCTCCCTCTCCCTCTCCCTCTCCCTCTCCCTCTCTCGCTCTCTCTCTCTCTCCTCTCTCTCTCTCTCTCTCTCTCTCTCTCTCTCTCTCTCTCTCTCTCTCTCTCTCTCTCTCTCTCTCTCTCTCTCTCTCTCTCTCTCTCTCTCTCTCTCTCTCTCTCTCTCTCTCTCTCTCTCTCTCTCTCTCTCTCTCTCTCTCTCTCTCTCTCTCTCTCTCTCTCTCTCTCTCTCTCTCTCTCTCTCTCTCTCTCTATCTCTCTCTCTCTCTCTCTCTCTCTCTCTTTTCCTCTCTCTGTGTCTTTTTATGTACGTATGTTTATGTATACTTATATGTTTATTACTGTTTATGTGCGTGTATACACATGCAACCAACAAGACAGAGAGAAAGGGGTATGTGTGTAATTATATGTATTGTATATGTGTATATATATATATATATATATATATATATATTTATATATATATATATATATATATATTTATATATATATATATATATATATATATTTATATATATATACACACACAAACACATGGTTAGACTTGACTAGACGCGACTGGGTCTGGATTGATTTGCAGAACCACTTACAGTATGGCAAGCCATTACGTAGTAACGGGGCTTCTGCCGGGTGGGGGTGACACACGTCTTCTGGGACGTGTGAATATTCCCCATGCTGCTCCGCATTCTAGACCGTCTAGCGCTCTGTAGTTGCTGGCCCAAGAGCACTCACCACAGCGCTGAAGGTGATCACAGTCCTTGCCACGAAGCTGCAGGGATCGAGGTTTAGGCTGCACCCGTGCACTACGAAAGCTAGCATTCTGCCTCTGGCCGGACTTCTTCCGAGCACAGGTCCCTGGTAAGACTAAGACCAAAAGCCAAACCTGAGCCTTTCAGAGCCTGGCAAGAGTCCGCACAACCCCACGTGGAATCCTCAACCGAACACCCCGAACTGCCCGTCATAAAGGCGACACCCAGCGGCGGAGATATTGATTCAGGCAGCTGCGACAGCAGCTGGAGCGGCGCCTCTACCACTCCAGCCCCCAACCACCCTTGTTGAGGACTTTCTGTATGTACTATGTAAGCCCTGCAGGCATGTTCTTCGTCTGGGACCGCAGCCAGCAACCACAGAGGCTGAAGTACAAGGCTTATAATGCTTTTAGCCCCGGTCTGGGGGTTCAGGATGTGGGTGGCTGTCAAAATTATGGTCCCTTTTTGGGTAATTACCCTGACCCTGAATGATAGGTGCCGTATTATATTAGGGACCCAAAAAGGGACCCCAATTTTGACAACCACCCATGTGGTGATCTGGCAGGTTTGAGACTGTGTCGTCATTTTTTCGGGCTTTCGGATGCCAGGGCGCAGGAGTTCGGGTTGGAGGGACCCCTTGGACCCCAAAAGTCTGTAGAATAATAGTGTTCTTTTAATGGGTGTTGGGCCATTATTTTAACTACTGGGTTTAGGCCGGGCCATAATGATAGTGCTCAGTCATCAGGGCCCTATAGGTTCAGTGAACGGGTCCTTTACGAACAAAGCGGCTTTCAAGGTATGCCTCTGGGCCTACTGGGATATACATATTAGACCATGCCAGGCGTAAGAAAATCCCTATTGTGTTGAGGATCGCCTGGAAACCTAAACCCCGAAAACATAAGATCTATAAGCCAAACCCTGCACCCTAAGCCCTACCTTAAACCCTATAAATTACCCAGAGGCCCAATAGTAGTTCCTTTTTGGGATTGCCTCATAAGATTCTAAATATGAACCCCAAAAAGGAACTACTTTGGGGCCTTAGGGTACACTTCCCCACCTGCCACTCGGAGGCATTCGCGCAAGCGGTGATGGTGGCCTTGGTGCTGCGAGGGTTTCAGGAGTAGCACTTCCGTTACACTTTGTGTGACCCCGTACATGGTTCGGGGTCTACGGTCAAGAAGCTGACACGAAATACGTGGCCATGGATCATACCATCACCATACAGGGAACTCCAGAAAGTTGGAATATGGTTTCATGGTAGGATACCCTATAATTTACCATAGAAGAGCTAGGATAATCGTATTCCAACTTTCTGGCTTTTACCTTAAAGCATCAGCCCCATTCCAAAGCTCAACCCACAAGCTCTTGACACGCCTGGTTCTAGGGCCTGGTTCGGGTGACGGTTGGGCATGAAAAGACTGTTGGACAGGCATGTTAAAAGTGTGCCAAGTCTTAGGGTGTATAGATTCTAGGGTGTCTGATTCACCATAGGCATATCTCGATGGCCCTTGTAGTTGAATAAGGCCGTTCTCAAAAATACCTGTCCAACTCTCGATTGTAATAGGATTCCTTTCTCTTAGGAGCTGCTTAGACGAGGCGAGCCTTGCAGAAAGACTGAAGTGCCGCGAGCATTCCCTTAAGGCTTCCTACGCAATGGTCGCAGAGCGACAACGATCCTTCAGTTTTCTACAGACCCCATGCAGCATGTGGCGGCGGCTGTCACATACTTTCATTCCTTGAACCCCTTAGTTCTTGCCTTTCCAAGAGCCGTGGTGGAGATGTGTCGCCTCGAACTTGAATTGCGGCCCAAATCACAAGTCTGTCGCAAAGGGCGTTGTGCTGATAAAATTAAAAATCAGCTCCGCAGGGCTACAAGCGTCGCGGTTGCAGCTGCTAAACAGTTTGCGTGAGGGTACGCCTGCATTTGCCGTCAAGTTACTGTACTCTATGTAAGGCTTCTCCATACATGGAAACTCGACAAATGGCTGTCATCTCCAACCCCGAAAAAACCGTCAGCATGCAGACCCAAAGACCGAAACCCTCCAAATCCTAAAGCCCCAAAGTGCAGAAAACCTAAAGCCGACGATGCCGGACTCTTGAACACCGCCCACGTGGCATTGACGGCGATGATCTCCGGCGGGCAGGTCGGCAAGATCTGCAAAGCCTGATCGCAATTTCCCGATCAAAACATGTATCTGCACCCCAAAGCACGAGCCCGACAGTCTTGGCGAAACAATACTTATGTGGCCTCCACTTCAGATTAGTTTGCCAACCCTACACCCCTAAACGGTATACTTAGACCTAGACCCCAAGCCCTCATCCCAAACCCCTAAACTGCAAGACCGTAGCCCCAAGCTGTAAACCCCGACAGATGCCAGTGAAACAGGGCTTCCAGGCCTCACGCCATCGGCTGCCTGCAGCCAGTGCTGACAGTGCTGCGCACAGTGCCACAGAGTTCGGTTCCACACCTGTTGAGCACAACTGAAAAAAGGATTCTAGATCTAGCGAGTTTTGTAAGGGTGGTAGAGAGTTTGTCAGGGGTTGGAGGGCCTTGGAATACGGCTTTTGCGGCTGAAATTTTGGAGTTGTGAGATCAAGGCTTGGGCCTGGCTCTGGGATGCGGGTTCGGTTTGGAGGTTCGCTGATTGGGCTTAGGATTTAGACCCTGCGCCCTAAGCCCCTAATCTGTAAACCTTTGGTTTTTGGCTTTGGGGAAGTATAGGATGCTACAGTTGTCGGGTCCATCGGTGGAGGATGCCTCGAAAGATCCTTCTGCAAAATTCCGCTGTTTCCTGTGCCCGGGTGTCCGAAAGACGGGCCCAGTGCAGCTTGTGACAGGATTCGGGTAATTGAGGATGACATTAACGATAGTATGAAGACTAATGTGCACATGTACTATGACTAGTGCTACTTTCGATAATCAGAATCATAATGCTGGTAATTCCCCGAGCCCTGAATTGAAACCCGAACCCCGGCAAGATCAAACCATGCGAGAACCGCAAGGAGGAAACGGGCAAAGCTGCGAGTTCATTCAGGGCTTAGGAAGCTTGTGCACAAAGCTGTAAATTGCCCTCATCCCCAAGACAACTTCTTCCGCACCTGCATGCTGCATGTTGCGGAAAACATCGAGTGCCACCTGCGCTGACCGGGGGTTGCGTGCAATCTTGGGCTGGGGCACCGGGGCGTCTCAAGAGCATCCACCCTTCACCCTGAACCCTAGATGAACCCCTAAGCCCAAATTTAAGCTTTGTGTCGATCCACTTCCAGGCAACCTGTCCCTGGAAGAAAGAAGCCCTCACAGAACACGAAAGAACCCATCCACAACCTGCAAGTAGCTGGCCTTGTGGGTTGAAATGTGCTAATCTGGCAACCTGAGACACCTTTCGGAGAGTCTCAGACTGGACCATCGACGCTCCCCTTTCTTTACAGCACCCACGAGGGTTTTTGAAGGGGGCGGTTCTTGCAAGGGTCCTTGTTATGATCCCAATACTATGTCGACGGCAGACCCAAGAATGGCCTTACCTTATCCTTGCGGGAATAGAACAATCAGAAGACTCCTCGACTCTCGGTACTCGTTGCCATGATATCGGGTTTCGGAACCCTACAGAACCACATTGCTAGGGTTCCTTCTTGTAGCAAGCTTGTATCGGAAGCCCACGATGAGCAGCGACTTATGACATGCATGCGCGGACTTGTGGAGAGGATGTTGGAATCTCTATGGAAATGGAGGGCTTCCGGTGCAGCCGTGAGGGTCATGATGAGGATCACAATGGGGCTCGCTACGGCTGTTGAGCATGCCCTAAACCCTAAACCCCTAAACTCTAAATCCTAAACCCCCTAAACCCTAAACCCCTAAACCCTAAACCCTTAACCCTAAACCGAACAGGAACGGAGCAGCTCTCGGGAGCCCCGTGCTGAGGAGGTGGAGGGCGGATGATGCAGCACCTGCTTGACTATGTGGTTTGTCGACCTCTGTTTGAATTGAAGTAGGGATGGTGAGGCCAACACTTCGATCCGATCCTGATCCGATCTTTTTGCAGCTCGATCTTTGATGACGATGATTGTCAAGCTCTGCCTTCCCAGGTGTTGGCGACCTGCGAACGCCTGTTGGAGCCGATCAAGAGTCGACAGCAATTTGCTTGCTGAAACATTTATGCTTCTGTGGTGGGATTGCGCATCGGCAGTGTGCAAATGCAGGCAGTCAGAATACTTCCTGGAATGCCGCTGGTGGTCGGTCTCTGACGACGACAACGACCAAACCTTGGGAGCTGCGATAGAGTGTTGTGACGTGCATGTCCGTGGAGCTGAAACGGCACCAGGCCGTCATGTGGACATCTGCGGCACCTGGCTTGGTGGTTGCCACGATGGTGGGGCGTTGGGACAGGGTGGCCGTACTGGCGATGATGTCTGAACTTCGGCTGTCGGACGAACTGCAGAGATGGAGGGGCCATGATTCGGCCATGATGTGCCGGCTTCGGCGCCGGAGGTCTGGAGACTGAGCTGTTAATCATCATCGACCTGGTTCAGCTTTAAGGCTTTAAGGCTTTGATGTGTTGTCAGGCAATGTAGCAGAACTGCCGCTGTTGTAGCACCCCAGTTATCTCAGATAAGCCTCTAGAATACCCTGGCTCAGAGCCACACCTCCCATGCATGTGCTCGCTCGCAGGAACGCATCAAGGCGCTGTAGACCACCACATCTGCGTCAGGGGGCCGAGGTCTCAAGTCAGTTTCAGGCTAACACGAAGGAATTGAATGTCTGAGGTCACCGAGGTCAGGGTCAAGTCTTCGGGTGTTGCTGACTTTCTCAAAAACTATGGAATGTTGATACATCAAACCCGAACTTCAACCCCCAACCACGAAACCCTCAAAGGCAGACAGAAAGTATATGGGGCTCTTCTAATCCTGTGGGATGCCTTCTTCTCTTGGAAGATCCTTTTCTACGAGCACACCAAGATCGCATTCGCCCTGACGCAAAGCAAAGATGCGGACAAATCGATGTCAACGTCGTAGGCCCTCCCCACGCTCAATGCCAAAACGACATCCTGCACACCGGAAGCCTACAACACAGTGAGATGGCACCGTAACCATATTGGCATAAAACTCGACATGGGAGGTACTTGGAGCCCTTACCCAAAAAAACCCAAACACAAACCTACCCGGTATTCCAGGCACGGCGTTACGTCTGCTGCCCTACCGGTAGAGAAGGCCTTGGACTTCACGTCAGACTCAGCAAACCTGTGTAACAGCGTACATGCCACCAGTCCTAGTCAACTAATCACTACGACACCTCTGTCCCTGTATTTTTTAACACACACACACACACACGCACACGGAGACGTGTACACATGCTACAATTACATGTATATAGATATGTGGAAAGAAGAAGACAAGCCATCATGGCAGCACTAGTTTGATGCTCGCAGTATACTGTTTAACACGTAACAAGCCCCGAACCCTCGCCGATGCCGCAACAACTGGCCTGCCAGAGCTTCTCGGCCTGCACAGCGGGGGACTGGCGAAGCGGAGATCTGCCCAGGACCGGAACCGGGTTGCTCCCACCGAAGCCCAAAGCTGTTTAGGGTTAGGGCCTAGACACTTCGACTTCGAAAGACCTCCCCGAAGACGTTCGGTGCCTTGGAGTAGCGCCAGGGAGCCCTGCCATGCCACGTCTAGCCTTGACTTGGCCATGAATTAACGGCCCAGGCTTGGTACTCAACGCACATCACAATTAAGATCCATGATGAATGTAATTACGATCTCAACAAAGGCAACTGCCAAACACCTACTTAGCACTCATGCATGCTGCATGCCCTTGCAATACCCTAATTTGTCCTAAATCCACAAAACACCTATAATATGTGTGAATGTCTCCAAGACGCTCTTGATTTCAACCCAGGCGCCACGCTGAAGTCAGTAGAATAAGTAGTATAAGTTGCTTGCAGAGCACTAGCATGCGGGCTTCAATCAGTCTTCGGGGTGTACAGCTTCATATAACGGCTACAAGGGACCAATATTGCCAGTGCTCACAAAATTGAAACCCTAAACCTTGCATTACATAAACCCCAAACCCTAAACCTCTTTCTAAGCCCTAAACCCTCCATCTTGTGAACAAAATCTCTCCACATTTCACATGTGAGGCCAGTCAACGCCACCACGATGTTGGCGAGACTGAAGCGATCGGGCTCTAAGCCTCAGGGCGATCGCGAAGAGCTCTAGATGATGTAGGGGCATTCATAATTTCAATCGGGCTTACTTTGGGGCTACATTATATAGTCCCTAGAAAGGCTTTTGCTAGAGCTTTGTATCAGATGCACACAAGGTTTTGCTAGCTATGGGAGCCCCTGCAATAGCCTGTGAGAATCCGAAGTACGCCCATGCACATTAGGGGAAGTGGACCTGTTCGGCTGCTCCGGATCCTACGACTTCGATCTTGAGTGTCTGGGTTGAAATTATCATATACGCGTGTATGTGTGTGTGTGAATGAAAAGTACTTTGTGTGTATACATACAGATATACATATAGATGTATACATAAATATATACCCATACCAAGGATGTCTTCACGATCGCAGATCTTGGACTTGCCACGTTCGGTTCGCCAAGGGGCTATGCAGGTGCAGATCGTCGAACAAGCTGAGCGCCAAAGTCCAGAACCTGTACAGAATCCAAACCAATAAACCCTACACCCTAAACCCCTAAACCCTAACCCCTAAACTCTAAACCCTAAACCAATGTTGTCCGTTTCATAAGGTCCAGCTGGCCTTGACTATGGGAGTCTCCGAACAAATGGGACCCTAATATCTTGGCTGACTTCTGAACCCCTCCTACAAGTTAAACTTTTAGCCTCCTTATTACAGTTCATATAGAAACCCAAAAAGTTAAAGTCTAAAGAGCCAACCAGAAGAACGCCAAGATATAGTACCCTAAACAGTAGGATCCTTATTACAAGGACCCAAAGTAAGGTACCGGGAATTTTCGGAAACTCCCATATGTCTACTCATTGTCAGGGGATCTCTACAGAGGCAACGTCTTGTGGAGGACATCCCTGACACGAACAACGGGAGCAAAGCACTTACCCCGTTACCATGTATTGGCACATGCCTTACATGCCCTTGTTGTGTCAAGAGGACCCGAACGTGAGCCGTCAGGTGGTCGTGCATAGCTCCACGCTACGAAGGTATTGCTGCAGGAATACACCTGGTGTCACTGTTACAATGCTGTAGGTGTGGCCAGGCTGTGTGGGAGGATGTACCCTAGAGCTAAAGCAGCTGTAGCAGATGTGAGCGTATACATGAATACATGTATGCATGCATGCATGCATGCATGTGTGTGTGTATGTACAAGCTGCTTACACACTTGCATAAATTTGCATGCATAGGTCTCAACATGCACAGCGAAGACCATATGGACTCAAGAAGACCATGCAGTCTACTGGCATGCGAGCGCTGGTACACGCCGCTCTATTTCCTATTACCTACAAATTGGACTTCAACTTCGGGCAGCTGTAGGGTATTGCATGTTGTTGTGTGGTTCTAAACAGCAGCAAATATTTATAGACCCAACTACACAATTACCATCGGTCTTGCGACAGGGATAGTTTAGGGCGTGCTACGTAATGCATACGGTTGGAGAAATTTCTACTTTCAGCTCGTATGCCAGAAGGTAATTTGTATGCTGCTAGCGATGTAACTGTCCAATCCTGGCCCCCACCTCCCCGAAATCTGTCCCGTCGACCTCAAGAATCTGCGGCGTCCCCCCAAAAATGCGCAGGACAATGTTTTTCCCGCAGCGCCGACGACATGATTGAGAAGCACACAGGGCATAGAACAGTGTCGGCAAAGGGCTTGGGGAACCCAAGACAGCCTATAGACTTAGACTTAGACACTAAAGCTACCTCAACTGTGTATTCAACGACTTCCATTTAGGGTTTACATAAACCTCAAAACCTCACGGATCTTCTGCCAACGTCTCCGTCCTTCGCAAAAAAGGGGCGGGCCCGACATCTTTGGAATGTGCCGCAATGAGGGACGGGTATAGCTCACGGCTCTCACAAGGTGTTTTGCTGAGATCTGGAGTTTCGATCGCCGGCTTTAGAATGTGGCTTGCTTCATTCATCCTGGCATATGTTCCATCGGTGCGAAAGGGCGCGCTGCTAGTACAACACTCTTGCACACTACGTTTCGTAAGAGCTTGCATCTCTGGGTGAACCAAGGTTCGGACAGGTTCCCTCTCGGATTGTGGGGTTTAAGCTTCAGAGTATCAGGTTCAGGGTTTTGAGGTATAGACATGTACAGACTTTAGGTGTTTGTTAGGGCTTGACATCTACAGGGTACAGATGGGCGGATCCAGCCCGAAGCCCCTGCGGTCGGGTCTGTTGGCAAGGCTTAACCATGCGCATGCCTGCCCTTTAAAGGCCTCATACGTCTTGATACTTACCTATAGTCTCCATTGTAGTTCCTTTTTGGGGTTACCTTATAGGATCCTTCATATATAAATGGTTAAACCAAAAAAAGGAACTACAATGGAGACTATAGGTAGTGCTCAACCCCTTTATGCCATTCATGGCCAAGGACTCTGCATTCAAAATTGAGTCCGAAGCCATGAGTTTTGTGCAAGTTTTGCAGGCTGCTCGGGCGGTTCACTCCTGTTGCTTATTCCGCAGAGGTACTGAAAGGATCCTAGGGCTCAGTAACATAAAGCTTCTGCCTGTGACCCGCCGAATTAAGGTAAAAACTATACTGCAGACTATAACCATGTATTTACCAAGTCTTATGATCTTCAGGTAGACAACGAGACACCAGAGAATTGGTCAAGATGGTCAGGGGTGCCGTAGCTGTTGCTAGGCTGCTAGGTCGTGGAGTTTGTTGCTTCGTGGTGCCACCGAGCCTGCTCCAGACAGACTTGTGTCATGTAGAGGCCGATTAAACAGAGATCGGACCGTTTCAGTGAATTCTGGAAGCACGCAACCCTAGATACTCGTGTTCAGCATCCAAACCGTGCACACATGAAAAGATAAAGCGCTTCAGACCCATGTGAAAGCACATAAACAATCCCACAAACCTATACAGCATATATACGAGAGATCCAGGACGTCCTCGTCGGGATCTCATGCAGCTCGAAGCGCCACGCGTAGTATGCCTTCTAGGTGGGGCTTTTAAAGCCTTTGAAAAGATTAGTAAATAAGATCCTCTTAAGCCCCTTTGAAAAATATTGGTAAATAAGATCCTCTTAAGCCCAATAAGGGAAAAGATAAAATGTCCCAAAGCCCTAAAAAGCCTTGCATCTCGGAGCAGATGCTGCGGCCGCGCTCCTGCTCCAAGGGGCTGTGCAGCAAGCAGAAAGCTTTGGGGTTTAGTTTCTTTGAGGTGTGGGATTAAGGGTTGGGATTAAGGGTTGATTTGAAGAGTGCTGGTCTTCCCTCTTTTAAAACATCGAGAAATGAGCTGTCAACTGATTGGCAATAGCTACTGCAGCGTTGAGTGGTTCTCCGGCTGTAGGCTTCAAAGCCATTATAGTCTGTTAAAGTGGCTAAGTTGTAAGCCTGTATGTGTTACTAGCGCCTTAAAACTTTAAAGCATATGATGCATCTCTACAGGAGTTCTCCGGTTTGCCTTTGAGTTCATGGTTCCGTTTACATGATGCACTTATGTAGCTGGATTCTTGCATACCTCGTGTGTCTTGCTCTGCTTGCTTGGGTCAGCGGCTCGGAAGCTCTATCCCTTGACTTGAATACCAGCGCCCTTGGATTGAATAAGAATCGCCAGTCTGCACACTAGAAAAACGGGTCCCTGCGCCGTGTGGACCGAAAAAACTGATTGCTTCACTGCTTCAGGCCCTCAGGAGGAATTGAGCCAGTTGCTGGGTCGAGAACCGTGAGACCCCGCCGAACACTTGTACCTACATATCTTTCAACCCAAATACTAAACATCTCTAAGCCAGAAACATCCCTGCCATCCCCAAACATCCCGACAGCCCAAACAGCTCTGAAACCAAAACGAGATCCTGGCCACAGTCATCTCTTAAACCCAGAGGCATCTCCTCCAAGATTCGAAGAGCAGGGCGTGCAGCCGGCTCCTTACGCACTCTCAAACAGAACTGTTTTGAATTGCTTGGTGCCAGGAATCAAAAGCAAAGATGTTAAAGCCCCGTAAGTCTTTTAAAACAACCCTGCAACCAAGACTCCCTGAACCCTAAAAACTCTCCAACACCCGATGCTTCTTTCGCTTGAAAGGCTGAGGAAGCGTGGGCAGTAGAGAGCGAAGGTTCTTTGCGCAGCCAAGAGCTGAGGGACAGAGACGGGACTTCCAGAAACTAAAAGTCCCGAACACCAAGTACCTGGACCCCAAAAGTATGTAGAATGATCGCCTTGTATGGGTATTGGGCCATTCTTTTACCTAGTTTGGGGGGTTTAGGTAGTAGGATTCCAGAAATCAAGGACCCTGAGTCCTTGAGAACAAACAGGAACACCTGTAAGAAACATCAGTCAAGAGGGCTCTTCGTAACAAGCTTCCAAAGCGCTTCTGACAAGAACAACCCTACAAAACCCTGATAAAGGGCCCGTAAACAATCGGAAACCACTCCCCCCCCGAACCGTAAACTCAAAATCCCGTACCTCAACTAAGGCTCGGCTGTGGCAGAGTGGGCGGCCACGCTCATCTTCTGGACAAGCAGGTCCCACGCCTTGATCCGGTTAGGGTTTAGGGTTCAGGGCTCTGAAGCTGCAGGGTTGCAGGGCTTCAGGTGGAGTTGGTAAACTCTTCGCGTAGGGGTTCAGGGATCTTAGCGTTTTTTGGTTGTAGAAAGGGATTTTAAGGATGAGGAGCTTCGGTTTAGGGGTTGTGAGGGGTTTCGCGGCTGAGGCTCGGGGATGGTTCGCGTATATGTTGAGTCTTGGAGTTTATGGGGTCAGCGTGGAAGGAGTGTAGAGGCTTGGCTTTGGAGGTTACAGTCTTAGTTTTGGGAAGTTGGGGTTATAGAGGGTTAAGGCCCCCGAACCCCTAGGATGCTGTAGCGTAGGCAAACTGAAGGGAGCATGAGCCACGAAACAAGTTCATGCTTACTACGAAGGGATTTGGCATGATAGCAGGGCTTTGGGTTAGATTCCGGTATCCTAACACAGTTCCGTGGAGGCTTCAACTCCTAGCGCGAAGTCACAGCCCCACAGAGTCCTACCGCGGCGAAAGCCACATGAACGAGGCTTTTTAATCCGGAGAGCCCTGCGATCCGGAAATGAATCCTGAACCTCTATGGAAGGGGAGTACTTGTGGGGGCAGGGATCTTGCTATGGGCGGTCCGCTAGTGTTATGCCGCTCTGGCCTCACGTCCCAAACTTTCCGCAAGGCCTAGGCCGTCGATCCTTCCAAACCCTAAATGCCCCTAAGCCCTAAACCCCAAAGTATAGCCGTACCCATAGCCTCCATAGTAGTGTTCCTTTTTGGGAATACCTTATAGGATTCTATATATGAACCCCAAAAAGGAACTAATTAGACCCCAAACCCTGAATCCCAGACCCCTCCCCTGTCAGCGGAGGCCTCCTTCACTTCTGTCGCTTTCTCCTAGCAAATCTGAAAGCGGAAAAATTTGGACCTAAAGGTTTTTTAGGAGCAGTCTGGAAAATAGTCAAAGCTCGCTGCATTATGGGCTTCATTCTGTTG